CGGGATTTCTATCTAATCGTCGTTCGAGAGAGTTTAAACATTTTAGGGTGATATTGTATGAATCTCCCAGTTTTACATGATTTTCCTTCAAAGGAAGCTTAACTACATATCGACCTTCAGAATCAATTTTGTAATTTTCCCTGAAATGTAATTCGCTTTCTAAAACTCCTCACTATTGAATCGATTTTGAGAGTTTTCTATATTTTCTAACTGCCAAAATTTTTGAACGGTATCGTGCAATATTTTATCAATGCCGTAGTTGATTGTTGAAAAACAATTTACTTGGTTTAGAATTTGTTGAAAAATAGATAGCGCGATATATCCTATAAATAAAAGGTCGTTCGTAACTAATTTTAGTTAACAATCAGACAAAATCTTCTGGAAATATGAAGAACGAGAATCGTTGAGCTCTCAGATTACTTATACTATAAAGGTAAATAATTGATTCAGGACCAATAATTAAATTATTCGGTCATTACAAAGTACCTATATGACTTTTTCAGAAGTGTTTCCAATTAGTTATTTGAAGTTAGAAAATCCAGTTTTGAGAATAATGAATCAACCTGAGATGAAACTTACCCACTATGTTTCATATTAATCTTTGATAGTAGTCAACCAAAACAAATATACTGGATGGAAACGCTTGGGTCGCTTGGAACGATTTTTGCAAAATCACACAAAAATTGTGCTTTATAATAGCACCTTTTTCGCCTGTGGTCTATTTTCAACATTCTGGCAACATACATATCAACCTTTCAGATAAAAATACTACATATCGTTTTTTCATTCCACATTTAAACATAAAATGGTGATAATAACAATTTTCTTTTGAAAATAATAAATAATAAATATCTGACTGCTATGTATATCTTTATCCTATTAAAACAAACAATGATCGCTTCATTATTTCAACAAAACTGTTGAAACTCCTCACAAAATCGTTATGCCGCTGCGATTTATTAAACCATACCAGCACATGTCGGCTATTATAGATTCTTCCTTAGAATTAATACATTCTATTTTACCGCTTCATTAAGTATCTTTCAGGTTTCCGAATTTAAATTGCGCCCCATATATCAACCCGACTCGCCTGCTTCATTATCTAATCGATATCCATATACTTAGACGATGGACATGATGCTTTTTAAATTTAAAAATCCCTAAAAATCTAGATTAAGGAATTTTTAATTTTAAAAAGTTTCTATTCTTAATATTCGTTATAGTTTGCTTGTTCACGGTCCTGGACAAAATATAATATGAAGGTAATTCGTTTTCTTAGGGATTAGTCTACAGATTATTTGAATAATATTCTATTATAGCACGCGGTTCTTATTAAATTTGTACTAGCAATAATTTAATTTTGATGCATTGGTTCTCGTTTTATTCTAAGGTAGGGTAATGGGGACATTTTAAATTAAAATATAGATAATGATGAAAAAATCATGACAGACCAAATTAATCAAGAAAATGAAAAAAAAAAAAAAAATTCTCAAACTCACTCAATTTATGTCATGTTACACTGCTTAACGGCACATGCTTCGATATCAAAATGCAGTTTAATTTAGAACCATTTTTTTCCTTAGATTCCCATTTCTTGTACAAGTAACAGGATTTTAAAACACGTACTTCATCGTGGATCCGTTCCGTTGCCAGTTTTGGTATTTGCTCATTTTTTACCGAATAAATTCGGTATTATAGACGTTTGTTTCCTCTCTTCGAGAAAAGACTAATGGGGCTACTGGTTTCTCAAAATAAATGGTTCGGTCTAGATTTCTGCGTTGTGCACTTTTAGTTTTATTTGTGTCGATCTAATGGACGGGTCGTTTGTCACCCAGTAAAAGAAAAGTGTTGCTCCTAAAATCGGCAGTTGGAGCCAAATTATGTTTCCTTTTTGATTCAACTCCATTCTCTTAGAGAAGCTGATTATGAACGCACGAAGAAACTTGAAATTTTAATTAAAAATAGCTGCAAGAAATATGTGCATGTGTCATGTTGAAATCAAATTCAATCTAACTTAGGAAACTATTTGTGACTGAAGTTGTTTAATAAGCTGCTGCAACAGAGAATTTCAAGTGTGCTGAAAAAGCTGATTTACTTGGCGTTCACACGTAAAAAAGAAATTAATTCTTGATGTTGCAACTCGTATAACATTTCACATCGCAATCCATTTGGAAACAAAACGATATCCCATATCGCAGGATTCGTGACACCTACTGCTTCAACCAAATAAGTTATTACGTTTTGCTGATTTAAAATCCAAGGTTGCGTGTTTGGTAACGGTTAACATGTTCTCGACGTTAGTTAACGGATATATTTATTTCAATTTGCTTCGCGTAAAACTCGATTAGGATGATCTTTTTTCAGTGGCGCAACTAGGCAGTGCCGATTGGGGGGAGCTTAAACCCTGTTGGCCCTTATAAGATAAGGTTGATTTGACGATAAATCCATCAATTTTGAGAAAGCGATGAATTTCTATACATTAATATGATATTTAGAGCAAGTTAGTAATATCATGTAAATAATGGTCCCGTTAACTTTATCTGAACACTTTTTGAAGTGAAACTTCTTAAACAGCGGTCTGATATTTGGACGAGAATGGACAGTGATTTGAAAGACGCGTCACGTTTAGGCCACGAGAGAGAGAAAAGATATAATGTTATGTAGAGAAACGGAGAAAGAAAGCCATTGATTGCCAAGGATTATAAGCAAAGACTATTGCATATTATTGTTAAGCGCCGATACCCTTGTTTCATCACTACATATACGCGTCTCCCTCTTGTGCGGTCCTTCGTCTTTACCCCGACTCATAGTTCATACGCTAATTCTAAAAGTTGTATGAGGGGGGAAATAGTTTTCATAAGTTTAACTTTTCACGCGTAACGCTTGTACGACGCTACACCTTTTTTTTTTAACTGAATACTAACATACAGTTCATACCTAAGTACATTTTTTAGTTTCAAAAACTTAAAAATAATATACTAAAGACATTTTTCCATAAACGTGTTAAAAATGCAATTTTTTCTACTTTTTAACTTTTTTTTACCTTATCGCACTAGTGCCATAAAGTATTTAAGTATTTATAGCACTAGTGTTAAAAATGAATCATCAAATTTTGAGAGCGAACTTCAAAAAAAGTTTGTATTTTTTTTTTTTTTTTTTTTACGGATATGCGCACTCGCAAGGAAATGTCCTATCACGCTCGAGAAGCGGCAAGTGCGCGGAAATGTCGGTGTATGTTGGTCTTGAAACGGTTCAGGTTGTAACATAACAACATAGTTATTAACATTCATATTAATGGTGAAATTTGAGCAACTGAAGTAGCCCGATCGGCCGCCTCATCTATATTTTTCAAGGGATCGATGCAACCCTCTTTTTCTTCTGTATTTTGTTGCATTTTTAGCAAAAAGCATTACTGACCACGAGAGACTTTCAAGAAACTGACAAGACCTTTCATTATCTGTTGAACAAGGTGCTGGTTGTTTGGAATTTTTGACAAATGTCAAATTCAATAATTTTATGTAGGAAAGATGCTTCCAATTTATTATTCATTTGAAAATCCAATTTGTTACTGGTTAGGTATTGCTTTTTATTGCCGTTTGTAGAAAAAATATTGTATGATATTTGTGTTAAAAGTATTTTAGGGCACTTATGTGAATTGCATGCTTGCCTTAAAAATGCACTTTTAACACTTATATCATAAATAACTATTCTCTATTTTTCCTTACCTGTTTTGTTTTGTTACAGCAACATCAAAAATATCACACAATAGTTATTTAAGCAACCAGTTGGGAAAAGCACTACTTTCCGTGACGAGCAGATTTCCATTTCAGAAAACGAGTTACGAACAATAGTGTTTCCCAACGTGTTTCACACAATATTTCTTCTAATTTTGTATATTATGATCTGATCCATCCAAATTCAAGTCAAAAACATAAAAAATGTCCCTTCTATAATTATTTCTAAACTGTCAAGTAAGTTCAGAGATGTTTCCTATTCCGTTGTCATGGAAGCCAGTATTGTTATTGTCAAGTTTGGCGACTCAAACCGGTGATTGTTTTCGGCGATCATTGACTACCTACTTTGCTTGTAGATTCTGTGGATGATTTGCTGAGAAATAAACATCATGGGGGTGGAAGTCTAAAGCTGCGCATCGATTACCCGCGGCAAACTGTCGAACATTGGCTCGCGCGGCAGCCGCGCTCAATGGATACTACTTGCCGCGCGAGCCAACCCGTGCTCGAACACGCCGCGGGCGAGCCAATTTCTGTCGGCTTTTGGAGCGCGGCAAAGGAAATACTCGTCCCAAGTTGAGACGCTTGTGCTCGATGCTGGATGGCGCGGCATATATACAATGTGTCCAAGATATGGAGGGCCAGTATGGGGATCTCGGAAACAGTGAAAGATACGACGTTGCTTAAACTAGGAAAAAGTTGGGCAATTTGGTGCTCGATAAAATCCCGCTCTGATTTTTAAAATTCCGAGTGATATCGGAGATATCCGGGAAAACCCGAAATTCGTCCAGAAAGATTTTATTTTTTCCTGACCTTATTTGAAGAGATATTTCAAAATAAATGGCACTTCTTCATTGCCACTTTTCCTCCTCTACAATATGGTATTATCAAATTTTTTAGTCCGACGTTTCGTCTTCGGACGACCATATCATCAGATCCCCATACTGGCGCGCCTTATCTTGGACACGTTGTATGATTTATTTGTTCCTCATTTGTGAAACCTATATCTTTAACACTAAATAGAAAATTGATGCCTACATAATAAAATTTATAATTTTTAATTTTTCCCTTGATTTTTTCTCATAAAAGCATTGGTAGTTGATAATGGGTTTATTCGGACTTAGTTCATAATCAGCTCTGAATTGAACTGCGCTTGCGCATTTGTTCATATTGAACATAAACATTGTTAAGGTCGTTGTTTATAGAAGTTATAAATCAGCTTTCGTATTTTGCAATTCATTTGAACATCTCTGATTTGAACCAAACGCCATGAATAATGAAAAGTGCCGCCTTCTAATCCAGCTACACGGTGCTAAAGATTTGCTGTGGAATAGCAAATCTCCACATTACCACAACAAATCGCTGAGGCAAGATGTGTGGAATGAAATAAGTGCAATATTAGAGTTACCAACTCCCGATCTGAGAAGAAAATGGTTACGTTTCAGGCGTCCTATAGAAGAGAGAAATCTTGGATGGCTAAAAGTCTTATTACTGGTTCTGGTAAGTATTTTTTTGAATAAGGCAAGTTCAAAGGCTGGTTCGTGGAAGCTGGACTTTTGCACCTATGGACTCTTGATCCCTACATTTTAAAACGTGATCGATCTCAAATTTTGAATCTCTACCAGCAAAATTGCTCCGAGTCTGATATTCGTATAGCAAGAAATACAACATACACCATTTTTTATAGCACGTTTGACTCTAGCATGCTCACCTATCCTAAATACCTTGACTTTAAATGCGATTTTTCGGTTGCTAGACTAATTTGCCAAATTCGCACCAGCAACAAGTTTTTTTGCAGACTTAATATAAAAAATATATCCTATCAGTTCAAGCAGGAGGACTTATGTTCTGTATGTAATATGCAAGTAGCGGAAACATTTCACCACTTATTTTTTGTCTGCCTACTATATAAACACTTGCGACCATTAATAGTCAGAGAACGAGGCACCTCTAGGATGCGTTTTTAGGACCCTCTATTAGACATCGCGAACAACCACCTAAAAAAAATGTTTTCTTATGTAAATTGACCTGGCGGATTTGATTTTGGAGTTCGCCAGTCAATCTGGAATTGCGAAACTGGTCAAAACCGGCATTTCCCAAAAAATAACCAATTTTATGGATTTTTCTAAATTTTTATTCAACACGCTGTATCTCCCTTAGTTTTAGTCCGATTAAATTGAAATTTTTTATAGAGCCAATTTAGACCTTTGTTATCATGACTGACATAACAGAAATGCAGAAAAAAAATTATGAGTCACCATAATATTTTTTTTTAAAGTTAATGGCACGAAAATTGTTAAAATTGCAGCCAGAAATACTTGATCGAGAAAACTTTTTTGTTTTTGCAGATAGATGTATATAGTAAGCGACAAAGTTGTAGCCAAAGAACCAAAGTAGTTTTTTTTATTGTTGTGATTTTTTTGATAACTTACTTAGTTTTTAGGCAAACGGATCCCCAATATTGAAGAAAACTATTCAGGCCCCGCGGGCGCTGCACAAGCGGTCGCCATGCGTATTCGTTTGCAGTTTCAGAGGGCAGGGATAATAACCAATAATAACCTATTCAATAATACCTAATCGGGGGGTTTATTTCAAAGTTCATTTAGTAAATTTTAATTTTGGAGAAGGAGAAATATGTAAAATAAAGTTTTAAATTTTGATAAAGGCAATTGACACCGGCAGTGGTTTAAAATGTTTAAATAGATTCGATTGAAAATATCATTCATGTCCAGTGTTTTTTATCATTCTCATATTTGTTTCAGATTCAGCTGCTACTCTAATTAATTTTTAGATTGAGTAATGACAACAACAAATAACATTGAGTGTTCTGATGTTAACTTAGAATCAGAGGAGAATGAAAACTTAAAACGGTATTTGAGGAAAAACGCTTGGATATGGTAGAGCTATCGTATGCTAATTAGAAGAATTTTTTCAACTCAAGAAACAGTTTTCTTAGCAGAGCATTATTTCCGGATTCCGGATTTAGAAGGAATAAAAGCTCAACTTTGTATGTTCAGTACTGTTTATTTTGGCGGATACTGTATATTTCATTATTTATTTACGTGATATGAAAATTCTAAAAATTTATGCTCCAGAAGTACACGAATCATTTCTAAAAGGAAAAATTAACATTCAATTAAATAAATGAGGTACTCAACGGCGTTTGGACTGGTATGGGCTTAGAACAAACATACATAGACTTTTCGTATCACGTAAATAATGAGGTATATATGACACCATATTTGTAGTGTCCAGCAAACACCATAAAAAGCCTAAAAAGGAGCATTTTCTCTATGGATAGTAAATGCTGGTTCCAATTTCCGCTACGTTCTGCAATTATATACCACTGTAGTATACATATCATATTTATGTACTGCAGCCAGAAAAGAGCAGTGGGGTTATTTTTAAAAGTTTCTTTGAATTTTTTTCTTAAAGGCTTAATTTTTTTTTTTTAAATAAACTACAGATATTAGCATACGATAGATCTACCATCTACCAACGTTTTTCCCTCATATACCGTTTTCAGTCTCCTCTGTACTAACAGAGGAGACTGAAAACGGTTAACTTAGTTTAACATCAGAACATTTAATGTTATTTGTTGTTGTCATTACCCAATCTAAAAATTAATTAGAGTAGGAGCTGAATCAGGAAAAAAGATGTGAACACTGGACAAAAATAACAACATGAATGATATTTGAATCCAATCGATTTGAACCACTATTGTTGTCAATTACCTTTATCAAAATTTAAAACCTTATTTTACATATTTCTCCTTTTCCAAAATTAAAATTTACCAAATGAACTTTGAAATAAACCCCCGATTATTATTGAATAGGTTATTATTAGTGCAAAACAAATCTCTGCCCTCTAAAACTACAATACGCTTGGGACCGCTTGTGCAGTAAGTAGTCCAGTACCTATACGTGGCCTGACTTGCCGCGGCCGCCTTAGTTTTTTTTCTATATTGGGGATCCGTTTTCTCGAAAACGTAAGTAAGTTATCAAAAAAATCACAAGAATAAAATACTTCTTTGGTTCTTTGGCTACAACTTTGTCGCTTACTATACCGGGTGCCCACGAGATTACTTTCCGCCTGCCATTTTTTTATCTGTTTATTGATATCAATGAAACTTGGTAGGCTTGATATTCTAACGAAATGCCATTTTTGTGCATTCATGACAAGTTTTCCTGACTTCCGGTTTCACCGGAAATTACCGAAACTTTCGATTTTCAAATGGCACACCCTGTATATTTTTTGTTTTTTGGATTCTACAGATCGTTTTACGTCCTAATGTACCACTTTTAAATCGAACTTTGTCCAAATTTCGTTTTTAAATTAAATTTTAAGTAGAAAAAAAATAATAGCCTACATAATAAAATAAAAATATTTGAACGAAAATTAAGAAAAATGTCGCAGTGTATTATATCGTTGGATTCGCTTCAAAATACTGCATTTATTAATGTTATGAAAGTGATATGTTCCTATTCTAGTTTTTGAGCTAGGGCAAAAATACTAAAATAATGAAGTTTACAGCCCTCTATCAAAAAAGTTTACAAAGATAAAATTCAGTTTGTATTTTTCTGAAATTAAGTAAAGTATGTAGAGTCATTTGAGGATGATTATGGCACTCTAGTTAAAAAATTAAAATTTAATTTTAAAACAAAATTTGGACAAAACTTGATTCAAAAGTGGTGCATTAGGACGTAAAACGATCTGTAGATTCCGAAAAACAGAAAATTTACAGGGTGTGCCATTTAAAAATTAAAAGTTCCGGTCATTTCCGGTGAAACCGGAAGTCAACAAAACTTGTCAATAATGCATAAAAATGGCGTTTGATTAGAATATCAACCCTACCAAGTTTCGTTGATATCGATAGACAAATAAAAAAAAGGCAGCCGGAAAGTGATCTCGTGGGCACCCGGTATATATCTATCTTCAAAAACAAAAAAGTTTTCTCGATCGAGTATTTCTGGCTGCAATTTTAACAATTTTCGTGTCACTAACTTGAAAAAAATATATTATGGTGACTCGTAATTTTTTTTCTACATTTCTGTTATGTCAGTCGTAATAACAAAGGTCTATATTGGCTCTCCAAAAAATTTCAATTCAATCGAACTAAAACTAAGGGAGATACAGCGAGTTGAATAGAAATTTAAAAAAATTCATAAAATTGGATATTTTTTGGAAAATGCCGGTTTTGACCAGTTTTGCAATTCCCGATCAACTGGCGAACTCCAAAATCGGATCCCCCAGGTCAATTCACATAAGAAAACATTTTTTCTAGGTGGTTGTTCCAGATGTCTTATAGAGGTTGCACGTTAGACGTTGCTCGTTCTCCGACTATTAAACTGGAGTGACGAAAACTTTGCTTTACCTCTGGGTGACTTAACCCTCAACTCTGCTAAAGAAATCTATAACACTGTTGCAAATATTTTAAAGCTAAGATCGTCCCTGCATAACGAATGAGGCAACGATTGTATTAGATTGTGTAACATTTTTGTTTTTTCCTCGTTTTCCTGGTGATTAGTGAGGGTGGGTACTTTAGAACTTTATTGTACTATATTTAAAAGTTTAATTTTTTAATTTTATTTTTTATTTTTTTGGTTATTGGGTTTTCTTTTTGTTAATATTATGCACTTTGTTTTACTAGTATTTAATTTATGCTTTAATTAAATGATCAAAAATTATTATTGATTGAAGGTGTGGGTGAATTCTTCACAGTATGTAGGTAGGTATATAAAAACCGATTTTAGATAGAGTATGTATAGGTACGCCCATGGTTAAACCGACAAACTTCCAGGAAAACAAAGCGAAATACAAAAATAGTATATTACAATCCGACACGGGAAATGCTTCATTGCTGATTAGCGTCGAGATAAACTGTACTTCGAGACAGCAATAAAGTTTCCCGTCGAGGTTTGTGTACTATTTTATTTTTAACCATAATTTCTTTAAAAAAAAAAAAAATCGCAACAACCAAATAAATGAGGTCGGGAAATGAGGACGGGAAATATTTCCCTGTTCCATTTTCCGTCCGTGGACGGGAAATGAGGACGGAAAAAATTTCTCGTCCTGAGACAGGTAATGGATCAGGAAAATGAAAAGACAGAAATGTGACATTTTCAAATTTTTGAAAAGTCAGTAATGACAATATTTCATATATGGTTAAAAATAAAATTGAATACACTGATACATTTTATTTTCAATTTCTTTATTAAATATATTATATTATTTTATACAAATGAAAAACAGTTATAAATTCTATCCTATTATTTCATAACAGGTACCCATGAAATTTACATATCGAAGTGGTTTGCTTTTGATGACTTTAATTTCATGAAAAATAAGGATCTACCCAATGAAACATCCGACACAATGCCTGTAGAATCTGAAGCTGTAAGTTCAAATGCTAATATCTGTTTTGCCAAGGTACTGCACCATTGCTAAAAAATGATGAGCGGGATGTGAACGTATTTCTTTTGCATAGTTTGCCGCCCTACGTGGAATACAGCGGATAGGCAGTAGTGATGTAGGTGTAGGTTCACTTCTCCAAGTTCCAGGTATAAGTTCTCCATCTATCTCATTGTCTAGAGATCCAGGCGGCGTATATAATAATCGGGAATGGGTTTTTTTTTCTCAAAAAATTATGCAAATGTATAGCGGCTAGAACAATTTTAGTAGCTACTTTTGGTTTTAGCAACATTGGCTTCCTTTATACTCTAAAAACAGAGCTGAGAATTCCGAATGCGTTTTCGACAACCCTGCGTGCTCGAGATAGCCTGTGATTGAATATTCTTTCCTGAGAACCTTTTTCTGGCTCTCCTTGGAATGGTTTCATTGTGTATTCATTTAAAGCAAAAGCTTTGTCAGCCAGAATTACGTACGGTACTTCAATAGCATAGGGGAGTATTGCCGGAGAGGGGACTTTCAGAGATCTTCCTTCAAGTTTTTTGTATAACTTAGTATTCTTGAAAATACCCCCATCAGAAAGTCTACCCTGGCAACCGACATCTACGTACCTGAAGCAATAGTCTGCGTCGACTAGAGCAAATAGTACAATACTAAAGAAATGTTTATAGTTGTAAAATTCTGTGCCACTGTTGATTGGCGCTTGTATCAGTACATGCTTGCCATCTATCGCCCCTATTGCATGAGGGAAATTCCATTTAATTTCAAAGCTTTGTGCTAATTCTAACCATTTTTCTTCAGAATTTGGTACCTGCAACAATTAAATAAAAATAATATTTACTTCTGATATAGGCGTTCTGTGGAATCCGGCGCTCCGCCCGCCCATGTTACGACTTATTATTAATAAGGTCTTTTTTTACAGACATCAACAACTCAAAACGTGACACCATATGCAAATTATGATACAGAACCAATCACACCGTCGGCAGAAAACAGTGCGGGAAAACAAGTAGAAATAGCCAAAGATATCTACAACATTCCGAATATTCCTTCAATCAGAAAAATTAAAAAAAAAAACAACAAATACTGAAGAAGAATCCCCTATGCTAAAGAAGGCATTCCAAATTCTGACTGAATCATCATCACCGCCCGACACATATTTCACTTACGGCCAACATATTGCCAATGAACTCCGTAAATATGACCAACGAACTTTAGTTTATGTCCAGCAAGCAATTAACAATGTAATTTTTGAAGCTGATTTGGGAAAATACACACACTACGAAGGTAACACACACAATTATGGACAGACACACTACAACACTTCTCACAGCTCAACGCCTTCCCATTCGCCGTCACCTCAGCCTTCACTTTCGTCTCCTCAGCCTCCGATCTCGCCGCTTCAGTTTTTGATCCCATCACCTTCTCATCCTCTGACCGTAGCACGTCAAACTACAATCCAATCTCTTCAGCCACCGACAGTATTATCTCCATTACCACTACAATCATCATCTTCTGATATTCCTTTTCGGCGACGATGAATCGGAAGCTGATGAAGTGCTAATTAGAACAATAAATTCTTTTTCTAACTAGATACCTACTAAATAAGTTCTTACTTAGAATGCTAAGTTGTTGCACAAATAAAAAATGTTGGATTGAACTGTGTATTATTTATTTACCTTCACATAATCCTTCAGAGCTTTACAGAGTGCATCGCAAACTTCTGGAACTATTCTTGAAATAGATTGCTTCGACACTCGGAAAAGGTATTACAGGCTAGTATAGGAGTCTCCAGTTGCCGAAAATCTCAAAGTAATAGCCAATCTTTCAGTAACTGAAATCGACTCTCGAAATTGTGTGTCCATTTTCTTCACTTTTGGCTCAATCAATAATTTCAAGTGCTCAAACTCTATATTTGACATTCTTGTGAAATTTTTCATTGTTTCTTCCATGGCTTCACATCTCATATCATCCATGAGTCTCACACCATACTGTATTCTGTTCCTATACAATCTCTTCATCCACCAACGCACATTCCGTTTGGGTTTTCTGTGAAGAATTTGATGCATTACAATAAAAGCGGAAGCTGCTCGTGCACGCGAAACGTCTATGGTTACTTCACGAAAACTAAACAAACACTTGGATCGCATGCCGCGAGCGGCAGCCGCGCTTTAACAAAGTTCGTGTCTCAAGTGGCTCGCGCGGCAAATGAAAGATTTTTGACGCGCGAGCCTGCCTCGCGCGGCTGCCTCGCGTAATCGTTAGCCGCGTACGGACTTTGCGAGGCACGCGCAGTGCGAGCGGTCTCGCACTACTTTGGAAGTGGTAGCAGAAGCTAAACACGAGGCAACGCGAGCCGTCATTCATTGACTCGCTCTGAGGCAACAACAATGTCGCTCACAACCAGCAAACACGTACAAACTTGGGAAATGCCGCACTACGAGGCTTCTTTGAGCACGACCAAAAAACCGACTGAGAATGGCTCACCGCGAGGCTGCCTCGTAACGCGGCAGACAGTGAGTCGAGGCAGGTACTAATTTTGCACGCCTCGGGAGGCAGCCGCGCGAGGTTGCCTCGCAAAGTCCGTACGCGGCTTACGCGGCATAATACATTCTTTAAGGGCTATGTGGAAAATTCCATAACTATAATAAACAGAAAATTGTCACCAACATCCTTGGGGAGACTTCCATGGAAAAAACATTCAATTTATTCATTTAATTAAGACTACACAGAAAACTGTGTTGTCAATATCATCAATTGTTCAAATTGTGGTAAATAACAATATTTTTCTGCGATTGACAAGAATTGTCAGCACAAAACTCAATATTCTGGTATTTTAATTATGTTTCAATAGTTGCTGGGAAATCAATGAATAACAATAGGGGAATCACTTTTCCGGCCTAGGCCGGGAAAGTGATTCTCGTACTGCTGAAGCTGAATAATTGGAACAAAAAAAAAAAACACATTTAATAGATACTTACCCGATCGCAAAAAAAAAGTGTAGTATTTAGATTTTAGCTATAAGAATTTAGGTTTAATAATAGAAATATAATGTTTTCGTTCTTGTTAACTTCTTATTACAATATATTCTTTTTCTTATCTTCAAGCCATAAGCAATGCCTTTGTGTGATGCCGACAAAGAGGCGCCGGCAATTTTCAAGATAGAACATGTTTTGGTACCCAAAGCTCAAAGTAGGTCACAGAACATCCATAAAGGCAGTAAGCTAGGTACGATGGCAAGGGTGAGACGCTCCGTTGTCGCTTAAAGACGAGTATTCAGTTTACCACCTAATCACTGAGACGCAGTGTGTGATTGTTTAAATTATTAAAGGTAACAGCCGTGTTATTTGTTGAAAGGGAAACAACAGCCGTGTTGTTCCCGAAGACAAAAGCTGTGACGGCAGTGTCAAAAACTAAAATAACAATAGCCGAAGTTATTTAAATTATTTGTTAATTATTGTTCGAGCCTAGTGTGTCTATTTAGTTGAGTATTTGACTATTTGAGTATTTGTCTTTATCTCGGTGTCCATCAAGTGCTTTAACTGTTGAACAAAGCCAGTGACAATAATAGTTTTTTCTGAAAACTCTGGTATTTAGAACTTTTATTTATTTTCTTCGTATTCGATATTAATCACTCCTCATTAAATTAATAATTAGAATCCAAGCCTCGAGTTTTATTATCATCCCTAAACTAACAGTTAAAAACAGCCTACAATTTGGAGTCTCTGTCCGGGATCGATACGAATAAATATAAATAAATACCAATAGACCAGGCAAATTTTAAAAAAATGTACGATTAAAGTGAAGTTTTTGGGGACAGATATTTTTTTGTTGAAAACGATAGCTTGTTACGTGCCAATTTATTACGTGTCACAAAACGGACACTGCCACTTTGTTACCCGCAAAACGTAACGGAGAAGTTAATGCTAAGATTTGAGGAAGGGAGATAGTGAATGGGTATCTAAAACAGAAAGAATAGAAAGAAAGGGTTGGTTGGTGGCTGAAATCTAGAAACGTGATTTCGTGTATAGGGTTGCCGACTAGCTTCCAATACGGAGAGTGGTGTGGGTTAATTAATTAACTAAATATAGAGCGCCACCTACTTTTTCCCTGCAGTACACGAAATCAACCGATATAACGAAAGCAGGAAACTTCTACGGAACTATAGCAGCACAACCTGAAATATAAACAAGAAGAAGGGACAAAAGTGAAACGCTTTGCTACAATCAGGTACGGGTTTTAATTAGAACCAGAACATGTTGACTCTAGAACAGGTTCAAAGAAGTAAAGAAATCGCCTAGACTAGGAGTACCTAACCTATGTACTCTAAAAATAGTAAATACAAAAAAAATTAACTCGAGTCCCTTAAAGTAAAGATTACCGTACAACAGCAATAATACCTGAAATATAAATGATCAATATACAAATTCACTAAATGCAGTACCTTCGTAAATGGCCATTTAACCCCAGTGTACAAGTATTTACCTGTATTCAGTGCAGCATTAATCAAAGTTGAAGTAACAATACGTAACCTGAAGGGCTTTAATATTATGTAACAATATAGGTAGGCTAAATACCTAGATACCTAATCAAATTGAAGTACCTAACAATACATAACCTGAAGGGCAAGTTTCATAAACAAAAAAAAAGAAAAAGGTAATATAGTTATAATTAATTAAAAATTGAAATAACAACACATAATCTGAAGGATAATTTCTCGGATAATTTTAAGGTAGTACAACTGCGTTGTTGTGGTGTTTTACACCACACAAGGGGTTGGTAAAGTTTGATATTAAGACAATACAACACACTTATAAAACCTGAGTAGTCCCTAAACTCTTGGGGGAACCTTATGGATGGGATTAATATCTTCCAGTGTTTCCAATGGCCTGGGACTGGATCAGGGCCGCAACAAGAAGCCACTGGCCCTGGGCACTGAAGTTCAGCAATTAGGAGTCACTAAAGCTTCCAATGGTCTAGAGGAGGGTGAAGATTGGAGGTACTACTTGAAACACACAGTAAGCTCAACGTTTAACTCTTTACTCAAGTTAAGAACTAAGCGTGACGAATAAAAGGTGACGATTAAAACGTAACGTCTAAGACTGAAGATTAAAGGCCTGAAACAAATTGACGTTATGAGACAGGGCGTGGAGCAATAGAGGTAGGTATGTCCGATATTCGGAATTTAACCGTATAATTAACAGAAAACTATGCTTTTACATAGGAAATAGAGAAACACAGAGAAGATTAATAAGAAAAACCACTTACCAGAATTACTTTTGGCCTTTAGGAACAAACAATTGACCACGTTGCTATTTTTCGACTCACAAAAAAATCTGCACAAGGCGATTGGGTGCTAGAATAGCGGATTAGCCACCCTAGATCTATGAGCGAAACTTGGCAACTCAGAAATCGGCAAAATGTGCCTGAGGAGTTTTCCCGAACACTTAATCGTGGAAAGTCCTCGACCTGAATGACCTCTGATTGTCCCTGCAATGTCCTTTAAAAAGGTTCTGTCAAAACTCCAAGGTGGAAGGTACTGGGGAATTTTGATGGTAGTTGGGGCATGGTACTTATTCAAATTAAGTTAGTACCGGTCATTGACTCTATTTGGAGCGCTGTCAATCTAGACAATCTACTCGGATCAGACAATCAGCTGTTCTAGTGTAAATATTGTGATTTTGTTTGTTAATAAGTTAATTGTCTATTTATTTTAACCCTACTAACATGAAATCAATTCCATTAACAAACCTCTAACTTAATGATTCTGGAACAAATGAAAAGTTTGATGAAAAGTTTGGCCACAACTATTGAAAAGACAGCAGTGGCTTGACGAGGGTATGCTATTCATTGAGGCGAATACGCTTATTTCCTTTCATTTTAACCCAGGAAAAATCATCCCGTAACAACACTTCCCTTTCCTCCACAAAAAAAAATCAACGATTTTTTTTTTCTTAGGCTCAAGACCAAGATCACGGTATAGACAAGTGGTTCGACAAGATACAACAGAAAGAAACCCACCAAAAAAAAAAAAAAAAAAACAGAACAAAACAAATTTCTTAACCTAATGAGTGTATACCTGTTGAGTGTGCAGGTGTCAGTCATAATCGGGAGGATGAGCTTTGAGGTCTTTCGCGTGCCATACGCCGACAGAGCGACCATCTTGATTCTGCAGCTCATATGACCAAGGAGACATAATGCGTGAGAGCGTGAAAGGGCCTGCGAATTTGGGAGCGAGTTTCGCGGAAAAGTGATTGGTTGCGTCTGAGAGGACTATATTCCTCTTCCAGACTTGTTGCCCTAAGACGAACCGATCATTGCGTCTGCGCAAGTTGTAAGTGGTTTTCGAAGTTTCGTACGCTTGTTGAAGACGCTTGCGTAAGTCGGCAAAAACCTGCTTAAGAGCTTCAGCTCTGACACGGGGATCCAGAACCTGGGGAGGACCGTCGAAGGAATCGGTCAATCGGGGCTCATCCTTAACAGGTAAATGGCCCTCTCGTCCAAACATGACGAAATTAGGGCTCAAGTCCGTGACTTCATG